CTAAATGGTGAAACTAGTTAAGTGATCCTGTGAGAAAGGGATAAATCTGTGCACAGAATAAGGTCCAACGGCCCCCATTCCCTGCATGTTCCACTAGACATTTGAAATCTCTCAGTCAAGCATGTAGCAAATGGGTGTCCCAGGACTGGCAACTGACTGATTGGTCCCGGAGCTCACATTCCAAGCTATTGTCTAGAGAACATCTCCACAGTTCACACTTGAGGGGGCAGGGGGAGTGGCAGCAGAGAGAAGGGCTGGGTAATTCATTCAGGAGCTGGAAGCTGAGAAACAGACTTGGTAAGCAAATACTTCAAAGCTCACTAGAGAACTCCCATAAAACACAGACCTTCTGCAGCAACCAGGGAGTGATTTAAGTCCACTTGGAATTTCTAGGAGGAAGGAGTAAGACGTATCAACTCTGTTCAGAGCCTCATGAATAATTTCACCTGACACAGGACACTGAACCAGCAGAAATCTGGGATGTACAAAGGACAATAGGTCTCCAACTAATCTTTGTTACTCGAGTCTTATTCCTAAGTGAGGAACCAGGGTGGGTAAGGGAAGCCCCGACAGGAAGTTCACCATGTTTAGACTCATCATCATCATCATCATCATCATCATCATCATTATTATTTGTCTTTGTGAGAGAAATGTTGGATAGGAAACTTTTTCTGGCAGCCATCACCTCACTGGCTGCACTGGCTAAGTGAAAGGCGGGGGCACCCACCAATTACCAGAACGTGGACCTCATTTGTGACTCCCTCTAGGCCAGCAGACAGCCAAAGGGGGACTTCAAATGCAGTAAACACCTAAGCCCTGATCTGCAAAGGTGCTGGCTACAAGTTACTCCTGTGCCCTTAAACCACAGGCCGAGAAACCCTCACACTCCTCCTTCTCCGTCCACACTGCAGACTGTCCCCACCCTTCAGAGGCTCATCAAGTCATTGTAAGGAAGCAGCCAGCCCTGGCCTTGTGAAAGGGTGTCCCTGCCATCCTTCCTACAGGCGCGGCATGGGACATCGCCCCATGCCCCATGCGCGGCATCACCCCTGTCCCCCCTCGAAGCGCAGCCCTTCCCTCCCACCCAAGCGCAGCGCATCCACGCAGGACCCAGGTACACTGTGGAAGTGGCAGCGCTGGCGGCCCTGGCAGCCACGACCGAGAGGTCGCGCTGCTTTCCCCCTGATGGCCGCAGGGGGGCAGGAAAGAAGGACTAAGGACAGTGGCCGAGGAGCTAGCGGCGCGTGGGTGAGGAAGAGGGGAGGGGGGGGCGGATGAGGGGAGGCGGGGGCGCGGGCAGCCGGGACCCTGGCGAGCGAGGAGCTCGGAAACCGCCCCTCGCGGTGAGCTCGGCGCGAGACCTCTGCAGCCAGGCGCCTACACACCCGGCTATACCCCGCGGCGGCTCTGGATGCGCCGCTCCTTCCCGCCGCTGCCCGGCCGGCGCGAGGGACGCTCGGGAGCGGGAGAACTGTGCGGGCCGAGGGGCCCCGCAGCCGAGGAGAGCCAGGGACAATCACGGCAGCCTCCGCGGGGAAGGTCCCTGCGTCCCTTCTTTGCCAAGGTCCACATCCGCCCTCCCAGCCTCTGATGTCTGGGCATTACTCTCGGGTTGAAGATATCGAGTCCCGGAGGTGGCGTGGGCCGAAAGGACATAATTCTGAACATGAGTCAGTTATGCTAATCCTGAGCTCTGTGGCTCAGAGAGTTGAAATTCAGGAGCCAGCTTTTTACATCTAATTGGCCACCCCTCCTTGTTCTGTTTTGGCCAACCGTAGCTCCTCCACGCTGGTCTTTTATCTCTTAGTACAGACTTCCACAGATTTCCATCATCCCACCCCAAAACTTTACAGTAAACGGGCTCTCTTCCCTTCATCAAATCGTCTCCACTTCTCCTCTTCCTGCTTCCAAATTTAATTCCTGACACATCTGAACCAAAACTCTCCAAAAGTTATGGCGAGAGAGCCCAACACAAACGGAAATGGCCCAGGAAAAGGGGGGAGGAGATGAGGCTATCAAAAATCAAACTGCGTGTGTGTGTGTGTGTGTGTGTGTGTGTGTGTGTGTGTGTTTTACCTAGTAGACATTAAACTGCTTCATAAAATGTTTCATCTGCTAGAAAAAAATTATTCTAAAATGACTTGCACTGATTTATTTCACTGATACTTATTTTGAAATTTCAGATAACCCTTATATAGACCATGTACAACTTTCATGTTCATTAAAATTACACCTAGGGAGTGCCTGGGTGGTTCATTCGGGTTAAGCAGTTAAGTGGCTGACTTGGCTGAAGTCAAGATTACAGTGTCCTGGGATGGAGCCCCTTCTCAGGCTCTGCACTCACCGGGAGTAGTCAGCTTGTCCCTACCCATCTCCCTCTGCCCCTCCGCCTCCTACTGCTCTCTCTTTTTCTCTCTCTCTCTCTAATAAACAAATAAAATCTTAAAAAACAAACTACACCTGGGTTCAAAAAGATAGTGAGACATTGCTGTTATGACCTTAATAAGCCACTGTATTAGAAAAACCAGAAAGCACCAAGAGGGAAAACCAGTAAAATGCGAGCCAGTGGGATTTACAAAATGGTCCTAAAAACAGTCTTTGTTTCCTCTTCCTTTCCTCATCCTGTTAGCAAATTCTGTTCAAGTGAGGAGAGAGCACTTGGATCAGTCCACTGCCTGGTCCTTCTTACTATGAGCCAGGAAACCAGGCTTCTGATTATAGCTTTGTCTTGTTCACCCTGGATGAACACACAGCTGGTCACACCGGGCAGACAGCACAGTCTGAGTGTGGCAGCACCACCAAACAGCACGGCCCTTATTCCTGGAAACTGCAGCCCAGTGCTCCCAGGGTGTGGCTCTGTGGGTTGCTCCTTTATGCTAGGACTCCAGGGCCTTCCAGGTCCTCAGCGTCTGCTTTTCTACCTTGGCCATGGCTCAGGCTCCTGATTTTTCAGTTTCCTTTCTCCTGGCTTCTTTTCCAGCAGTTTGGCTGATTCATTAACATCTCCATCAGAGGGTGGTCAGGAGAATAGGGAGCTTGAAACTCCACTCAGCTCTTCTTAATGGTCCTTCGAGTGCTGGGCTTGGTGGGAAAAGAGCCACACTGTTGGCTAAAATGAGATTTGGGGATTATCTGTGGATTTAATCTGGTCTTCTCACATCTACCATTTCCACAAATAATTAGAGATTACTAGATACATTCAGAAGTTGCATTAGCCTTAAAGAATTTGGAGAAAATCTAAATAGGCTTAAATACCATTTTGGAGTCCAGAATGTTAAGCTCTATGCTCCAGATAATTAACATTTTTAAGGCCTTCCCCCACCCCGCCCCTAGAACCCTGTGGTTAAAATCACTACTAGGAAACAATTTACTGAACACATTTTATATATATTTTGCAGGAAGGGTGAGCAGAGTAGAGAAGCAGTAAATGCACTACTGTTGGATAAAGAGGGATTAGGCCAGGCAGCGATGGCATTTTGAAACTTCTCTATCATCAGAACATATATTCTGATGCCGGAAGTTTGAGAGGATTTTTGATATTAACCTATGTGGGAAATAGGCAGGTAGAAGACGATTTGCAGAGCCATGCTCTCTCTGTGGGCACAAGTATGCTGCCCCTCCTCCTGGAGAGCACCCTGGACACAGAGTGTCCATCCAAAGCAGTAGGTGATGCTCACTGAGCCAGCAGGGCCCTTCCTCCACGCTCAGAGGGCCCCTTCCAGGGAGCAGCAGTGGAGGCAATGGCCTTCTTTTGATTTTTCAAAAGAAAACCCAGTGGGAGTCCTCCATTAGCAGTGACATGAAAATGGCATTCTATTATTGCAGGGTGGTGGAGAATATGGTAATAATAGTATCTTGTGCTTCTGAGTGTTTAACAGTTTTCAAAGCAATTTTGTATTTGTTCTCTTATTTGATGTTCATAGGAACTGTGAGGTAAGGATGTACAGTATGATCATCTCCATTTCTTTCTGATGAGGAACTTAGCCACAGTCAGAAAGCCAGTAAAGAGCAAAGTAGAATTAGAATCCAGTCTTTCTGACATGCCTTTCTGATGTACCATTACAGTTCTGTACTAGGGGTGTATGGGTGGCCTGGTCGGTTAAGCATCTGCCTTTGGCTCAGGTCATGATCTCAGGGTCCTGGGATTGAGCCCCACAAGGGGCTCCCTGCTCAGAGGGGAGTCTGCTTCTTTCTCTCCCTCTGCCTGCCTTTTTGCCTTTTTGTGTTCTCTCTGTGTGTGTGTCAAATAAATAAATAAAATCTTGGGGCACCTGGGTGACTCAGTGGGTTAAGCCTCTGCCTTCGGCTTAGGTCATGGTCTCAAGGTCCTGGGACTGAGCCCCACTTGGGGGAGCGGGTCTCTGCTCAGCAGGGAGCCTGCTTCCCCCTCTCTCTCTGCCTGCCTCTCTGCCTACTTGTGATCTCTCTGTCAAATAAATAAATAAAATCTTTAATAAATACATAAATAAAATCTTTTAAAAGTAACTAATAAAGTTCTGTAGTAAAATATCATAGTTTGTTATATGGCTGCATTATCACACCTGCTCTATGTTCATTAAATACCCTGTACTCAAGCATGCTCATTTTATACTGATTTAATTAAGCAAATTACACTTATGAAAAAATTTGTGTCCTTTCTAACACTCTGTCTCCTTTGGAATACCACTATTGAAGCTCTGACTTTTATTTGTATTTCCTCTCCTTAATAATCAGCAAGGTGTTAAGCTAGCCATGTGGGACAATTTCCCAAAGCCACTTAAATTGACTTACAAAATGCCACCCAGTGTTCACCTTATCCCGTGGCTCTTCTTTTCCATTACTAGAATCTGAGTGCATAGTAAGATATTCCCCAAACAAATGGGCCAAGATCACACCTTACCAAAAGCAAACAAAGCAAGCAAAAAACTCTGCCACAAATGAAATGTCTAGTAGCATCACAACTATAAGTTTTCTATCTATTAATATTTTTAGAAAGATTGATAAGAAATTCTCTGACATACCCACGTGGTGATAGTCCAATTCATGCTCAAAAAAGCACTTCAGCTTTTTCCATCAACACCATTCACATTTTAGAAGACTGACTTTGCAGGGGCCTCCCCAAAGAATTTCCTTAAACCTCTGCCAACCTTCAGGGAGAAGGAGTGGAGATATTACATAAATATCTGCATTGAGTTCTTGGATAGAGTTGCACAATGGCCATATATGGTGAAAGGTAGATTTTCCCTCGTGACTATACTCTTGGAATATGTTAAATGCATATGTCTCCATTTCTGCTCTCAAGAAGCTGGTGTACAGATGTTTAGTATTGGGGTGGTAGAAACACTGCTGTCTACAGTTTACATGATGTCTAATAGGTCTCTAGAATGTGCTTAAAAGGCAGTGTTCAGAATTAGGCCTCTAACCTTCTTTGACGTAATTGTCTTTCTTTGGAGTCACATCTTGAAGGAAAGGATGAAGATTTGGAAAGGGCATTAATTTTCTCAACCAGACTTACTATTTTCCTTCTGTGCTTTATAGTAATCCTTTAAACTCAAAAAAAATCAGCTAATTATGGATTTCTACCTGAATAATGTTGCCATTTGAGTGGCTGCATGTCGCTGTTTTCTTTTTTCTGACCCCCTGTCAGGCCAATTCTGCCTGATTTCACTCATGTGCTGCTGCTTTTTATAATCTGAACATTATTTCCACTCAAATGTTTCCAGCTTTGCAAAAAACCTAGGAATCTGAACGTGGGGGGGACCTCTCATAACTATTACTTGGATAATTATCATTTGGAGTTATTCTGATTTTTTCCTGCAAAAAGGATACTATGAGAAGAACATTTGAAAAAAGTGAAAGGTTTTAGTTTGAAAGTTAAAATTTTCTAACTAACATTTTAAAAATAGAGCTTAGGCAGTCTCTCTGGTAATTAAAATATGATTTCCCCCTCTATTTCCTATGCTCAATAAACTCAACTATTACAATATATTTTGAAAAGTACAACACTGAGTCTAGGGCATTAAACAAAGAAATTAAAAGGCTTTGAGGGGATTTTTAAAGATCCAGTTTCCTAATATGTAAAATGGACCCTGGAAAGACTTTATGGTGTATAATGTGTTTTTTCCCTATTTTCTAAATGCAATAATCTCTTACTGCCACTTGATCATTAGAGATTTATATTCACTATAATTTATGTCAACTTATATCTGGGATTCCTTTTTTTTCCCACAACGTTTGGCAGCAAACTGCTGGTGGAAACTAGAGTGTTTCACATTAGCAGCCCTCTTAAATTATTTCTGTGAAATAATTTACTGTGGATTACAAATTCTTATATGGCATTTCAAGTTAATGATTAGGCAGAGAGATATATCAAAAATATGATTAGTCACATATGTACCTGACTTGCATGGCTTTAACTCTGTGTGTGTTTCATAAGAATTGTTTTTCAAAAAGATACTTCAGGGCTTCTATATTTTTCCAAAGAAAGCCAAAAGATTTTTAAAGGAAAAAAAAAAAGAGATATACATGCTCTTATAAACTATCTCCTCTAATTCAATGTCTATAAAGTTATTTTCTATTTCATGATGGCCACTGACAGCACAGGTACTGCTGTGTGGTCTGAAACTACAAGATCTCACAGTGGTGAAGACTTCTTGCAGCGTGCCTTGAAGTCAAGATGTAAAAATCCTGAGAAAACATGAGATTTTTAATGAAAACTGTAATGTCTCTCTTTCATTGCAAGGAATTAGCCATGAAATGGTGTACCCCCAACAGAACACAAAATGAAATGGAACCGGGCACTCCTTGTTCAAATCTCAGAATGAGCTACTCCCTAACTCATTTTCATTTTCCTACATAGTTATGGTTAAAGCTTTTAGAGATTTCTTTGTTCAGTTTCCTTTATCACCCAGGGAAGTAAGACTTAGAAGCGTGGCTATGAAAGTTGGGTTCCAATTTTATTTGTATAGGAAGGAGCTCCCAGAACATTTCTTTTGTATCTCAGACAGATATTTCTTTTTCTCTTTCCTTCCTCGCTTTTCCTCTTTAACAGTCGTTCTCTTAACTCAGCTATTTATGATTCATTTCATGAAAGGCCAGGTTTTCTCTGAGGGTACTATAATGTCTTACAGTGGTTTTAGAGACTAGCAGCAAGAAGGAACTACTACTTTCTTTGGTGTTGTAAAATAAAGTCATGGTTAATAGCCTACAACCTGCAATAAACTATTAAAAAAGGAATTTATGATAGTTGGTTATTATCCTCCTGAAATAATGTTGTTACAAGTCTGCCCTTGTCAGTCATCTGCAGGATCACATACTGGATCTCAAACAAAAGGAGGGTCTGGATCAACACAGGGGCTCATGGCAATTTACCCAAGGATGGGATGGCCTCGCCTGATAGTCCCTTATGCCCTTCATCACCTTTTCAAAGCAAGAGAATAATAGCCACATGTGTATTTTATCCTGATTGCACTAAAAGGCACCTGTTTGTGAGTCTGGGTTTGAATTGCGATTTCAAAAAATATTTGCATGGCCAGTGACAGCAAATTATGTGGGAGTGCCTTGGGGACATTGGGGCACCAGAAGGCAAGGCTTTCAGAAAGACAACTGGAAGCATCATGCATACCCTGAAAATTGCTTGTCAACTCTTTTCCTTCTTTTTAACATTAATTGAAGTCCTCAGAAGAACTGCTTCTTCCTTTCCTTGCTTTGTAAGCACTTTCCTTCGCTAAAGCTGGGTCTGTCTGGCAAGCTCCTTGTGAGTCCTCTTTGGCATCTGGCAAGGTAGAGAGGAAGAGAGCATCCTATCATGCAGCTGAATGTGGTTGGGGGTGGTGGGGGAAGGACAGGATTATTCACCAGAGGCTGAATTAGGCTAAGGCTCAGGAACCGGAACAGGTCTGCTTAAGTTGCACAATCACCAAAGGTAGAGGGTCTGGCTCAGAGAGAGAGAGTTAGAGAGAATGAAGAATAACGAGATTGTGTGTGGCTTGGGAAGGATGGGAGATGGTCTAGTGGGTGGATGAGGAGGTCAAAGGGTGAAGAAGGAGGATTAAAGAGGAGGCAAAGGCCTGAAATGGTTTGATTGATTTCTAAGAGTGGAAGATATAAAATTCCAGGTTCTAAACCCTTATAATGTAAATCATCATTTCCTAAAGAAAGTAATAGAATTTCTCTGGTAAAGTAATGGGTTACTTTATTTAAAAAAAATTTTTTTATGTTGTGCCTGAAAATGTGAAAAAATACAAGCTCTCCAAGAGTTGGATGGATATTGCTTAATATTAAATGTTAAAGAACAGAAAATTGGCTTTAAAATGAGAATAAAAATGAAAAACCAAGAACCATCACTTCTTAGACCTTCATTTAAATAAGCCCACTCTAACATACTGTGCTGTTCATTACTTGTTTCAGAAAGTTATCAGAAGCATCTGTTCAGTATGTTTTGAAAGCCAACTTGCTCAGTTCTGTGAAGCAATGTCTGGGTCGGTGCCTATGGAAAACAGAATAGCACACACACGATTCTAATCCCATTATTTTGAAAACCTGGAAAAGCTTTGGTATCATCTGAAATGGCTGATTTTCTTCTTTTGTCTACTTAGAAGAACATTAACAATTTTTTAGGAAAAAATTATGTAGATTTAGAAAATTGAAAACCAAAATCTAGAATTGAAATCATCACTTAACATAAAGCTCTGATTTTTAATTGTCTCGGTATCAGTGACATCACTTTACCATTCCCTCATAGGATTAAAATTCATCTCCAAAGGAAAATCTAAAATCCATGAAAATAGTGTTATAAAAATTTGGAAATTAAAGACCTCATAGAAATAAATATAATAAAACAATACCTGTCAGCTGCCAAAGTAATGCTGATTTATACACTAGTAACCTGTTTGGCTTTTTGATACAAAATTTCAGAGCAGCCACTATCCACTAGTGTTTATGGAATGATGGCCTGTGTAGCCAGTCCTTGCCCTTCACTTAATCACCCAATAAATCCAAAGTTGGAATATTTTCAACTACGTTCACCAGGGGTCGCCTTTAAGTGACTGTAACCATCAATGATAGCCTTTTAAAAGACCATCTACTTTTGGTCAAAATGTTACTATGGAAATCATTCCCCTTCGAAGTGCTATGTATTAATTATATCTGCAATCATGCTGTCAAAATAAAGTGTCTTTAAGACAGAAGGAGAGAATTTCTTACTTAAGTGTAGAAGAAAAGCACAAAAGATGATGTTCATTTTGTAACGTGCTCTTATTCCATAATTATCAATAGAGTCAGAGCAAGAGACTCAAATGAGTGGCCGTCTGGTCAAAAGATGAAAATTGATATGTTTAGCCATTGAAGACTTATAAGAACTTGTCACCGTATTAGAAAAATACAATCCAATAGAAAATACAGTTTTCTAAAATGTTTTTCTAATTATCACCTTGGCTCTCTGTGGTTCTGCAAATACAAATAAATAGAAAGCTAAGTTTTTCATTTCTTCCCAACTCCCAGCTTAGCTACAAAACTCCTAAATGAAAACACAGTTTTCTGTGTTGTTCAAGTCAGGAGTGATAATGACCAGAGACGTAAGGATTCCAGGAAAGGCTGTGGAGGGGCGCAGAGGACTGTGGGAGCAATTAGCGGGTGTGCTGGAGACTGCTCCTTTGTCTCAGATTGTCTACTTATACTGATCCACTTGCCACACTCTTTGCTATTTCAGAAGAGTGGAAGGGGTGATGTTGGTTGGATACCACAAGAAACGCTGAACTTGCAATCACCAGCATCACCATTGCTCCCTGGTAGCAAGAAAATGCTGAAGTGAGCAGTTGCTGAATCAAAATATTAGAGCTGGAGGGGACTTTAAAGTAGTTTCTCTGGATACAGTTTCCAGCTACGTAGGGGCTAAACTGGAAATAGAGTAACTCTTGACTCTCAAACCACAGTCGTTTATTAAGGAAATATCACAAATTGGTTTAGCTAAGGGGTTATAGATTTTAACATATTTTGTAAGATTTACACCTAAATAGTTCATGGTTTTCTAGATCATAAATTAGAGTCCAGCTCCCTAGAGTCCTAAATTAAACATAAAGCACTTGTCTCCCATCTGAGCCACAGAGACCAGTGTTGTCCAAAAGAAATACAATGTGAGCCACACATGCTATTTAAAATTTTCCGGTAGTCACATTGCTTTTTTAAAGAGTGGGAGGGAGAGAAAGAGAGAAAACCAGAGCACTAGTGGTGGGGGCGGGGCGGGCAGAGGGAGAAGGAGAGACAGAATCTTTTTTTTTTTTTTAATTTGACAGAGATCACAAGTAGGCAGAGAGGCAGACAGAAAGAGAGGAGGAAGCAGGCTCCCCGCAGAGCAGAAAGCCCGATGTGGGGCTCAATCCCAGGACCCTGGGATCATGACCTGAGCTGAAGGGAGTAGCTTTAACCCACTGAGCCACCCAGGCACCCTGAGAGACAGAATCTTAAGGCTCCACACAGGCTTGATCTCACAACCCTGAGATTGTGACCTGAGCCAAAATCAAGAGTCAGACACTCAACCGAATAAGCCACCCAGGGAGCCACACTGTAAAAAGTAAAAACTGAAATTAATTTTCATAACTGTGTATGGATTATACTGTGTAACAAGTTACTCCCAAACTTAGCTTGAAACAGACATTTACTATCTTATAGTTGCTGTGCATGGGTGATTTAGCTGGATCATTTCTGGCTTAGGGTTACTCCTTGGTTGGCAGTCATGCTATTGGCTGGGCTACACTGACTGGGGCCAGAGGATCTGTTTCCAAAAGGTGTTATTCACATGGCCAGCCTTTGGTGCTGGCTGTTGGCTGACGTGCCTCAGTTCTCCTCCATGTGACTTCTCATCCTCCAGGGCCTCTCATCTCCATTTGGCATCTTCAGCATGTGCATTATTGGTGACAGGGCTCTAAACAGAGGAGAGGGAGCAAGCTAACATAGGGGAGAAAGAGCACCCAAGATAGAAGCTGTGTTTTGTAGATTTTGAAATCTCATCTTGGAAGTTATATTCTATCACTCCTGCTATTTTTCATTTGTTAGCATTGACCTATTAAGTCCAGTTTACATTCTTGGGGAGGGAATTATATGTATAGGTTATTGGGAATCATCTTAAAAGTAGTCTACCACAACTCTATTTTAATTACCACAACATACCTAAAGTTTTATAGCATTATAGAATCAATACAATTGTTAATGAGATACTTTGTATTCTTTTTTTTTTTCATCTTAAGTCTTCAATATCCAATATGTATTTTACACTTACACTGCATCTCCATTGGACGAGCCACATTCGAAGCACACATGGTCACGTGCGGCTCATAGCTATGATAGCAGAGTATGTATATAGATGTTCTGGAGGACCCTAAAGACCCAAAGACTCTGATGAAGGAGAGGTCCTCTCCCAGTAACTGAAAAATTGAAGTGATTTATCTGATCCATATCAAGTATTTACCATGTCCCACGCACGGTGCTAAGAATGGGGAACCCTAAATCAGTAAATCATTGTGCCTGCCCTAAAGGAACTCAGTCAGACAAATAAGAAGCTAAATTCTAAATATGCATCAACCATTCTGGGCCTGCTTCAGGGAACTTTACCCACGATGGGTCCTAGAATGAAGAACTCAAGTCTCTCCCCATTCCTTGGGAAGATAGATGACCCAGAATCTTTTTAGCCCAGCCAAAACTTCCAACAATGACCACATGGATCATTCACCCCCGGCCCAACTGGGGGCTATGTCTCCAGCCCTAAGCTGGAGCCCATATGTTGGCCTGAAATCTGATTTGCCTTGGACATGGAGCAAATTAAATATTTGTTTAACTCAGAACATTGTACTTTCCACTATTCTCCATAAGCAAGACCTGTAGGGGAAGAGAGATTTAGGGGGTAACCTAACTAATTCAGGTTTCTTGGGTGCTTTGGAGGTACATGTCATAGTTGCACCAAACCTCATACACATGCAACTAAATGTATATGGAAGAAAAGTTCTAAATGATCTTACCAGTTATGAATGGATGTTGCAGTAGGGAGCATTATTTTTAGTCTAGTCTCTGTTCTAACTCTGATAATGCAAATTTCTTCTGCTTTTGCAAAATGTACATATGTATTTGACTTGAATCTTCTCTCACAGTTTGTGTCCTGAAGTGTATCTGTGTTGTTATAAGCCTAACTCTGCACACCCAGGACCTACCAGAGGAGCTTCCCATCTCCCAAAATAGCACTTACATGCTATTTATTAATGGTGATACACCTGGCAGTCCAGTTAAAGAATTCTGGGGTTCATTTGGTTGAAATACAATATACTTTTCATTAGCAGAGGGGCAAAGCAGTTTTCTGAGTGGCTTTTCTACCAATGTCAATAGTAGTCACTTATTTTCAAGTTAGAGAAAAATCATGCCTGCCTCAGTGCGAAGAAATCAGTTTCACTCAGACGGGGTCTGGAAAAATAATCTTGATACTATCTTTCCCTATTGCTTGCCTTCATAAAAATATTGTTTAGGGGGGAAAATGTGTGAAGACAGTTTCAAGTGAAGGACTACACATAAAACATGTCTTTCTTACATGTAAATCTCATTTCCAAGTTTTTATCATATATATATATATATATATATACACACACACACTGTTTCATCAAGGTTATTGTACCTGTATCTTTAAAAATGTCTTTGTTCCACAATGTGTACATACACACACACACACATACACACACATATACCTGATAACACATCTCATTTCTGTGCACAATAATGTCATGATTTTAGTTGAGCTGCCATAGGCTAAGGCTCAACCATTTAACCTGGAAAAACAGTCAGGCTATCTGGAACACAGGAAAACCCCTTAAGCTGTTCCGCTGGAATTTGAAGGGTGAGAGTAAAGCTTCTGTTCTGTGTAAATCTGTTCAAATGTAGTGTTTTACAGTATCAGGTACTACTCTAGGAGCCAAGAACTGACTTGGCCTAAAGGCCCCTGCAAGAAGACAAACCTAACCCCACCCCCAATACCTTTGAGTCAGCTTAGAGAAATAAATGAATTTTAAACATCTCATTGTAAATACAAGTATGCACATCATTTTTTCACATGTAGAGTAGCTCATCTAAAAGCACAGTTTGTTCCTGTTTTGGAGATTCTAAATAAAAGAAAACAGCGTTTTGATTGGTCTTTGGGAAGGCCAACGTGCTCAAGCACAGCACATGTGATGGGATCCACAACTATTTTGCTGAGTTTTAGAATGCAAATTTAAGCCCACAGTATGCACTCCAGCAAATATATATATATGCCTCTATCTATGTACAGACTGATAGATACCACCCACAAACATATAATGTGCAGAAGGGCAGTGGCAAAAATATCTCTATTTTTTTTTTCAATTATAGCTTTGGTTGAGATTTATTTTAACCTAACCCACAGAAGAAACGTTTCATCGCTGTAGTAGTGCAGGCAGTGTGAAGGACCGAGTGTGCGCAGCTCTTTGGAGAAAGAGGGGGACTCCTTTAGCCTTTTCCATCTGAATTTTTATTTGCTTCTTAAAAGTAGAAGCTGAGTTCATCAGCTAACCCGCTAGACTTGAGATTTACTCTAAAACTGTAACTCACCCTGTTTGGTAGGCGTAGGAGGCTGCCAGCACTGTCCCCGGGCTTCCAGTTCCATGGAACTTTCGCGTGGCCTGTTTACCCGACCCGCTTTGGAGCGAAAGGGGGCTTCCCATCCGGAGAAAGATCCTGTTTGCTGCCCTCTCTCCCAACCCCCAGGCCGACCGTGCGGCGCGAATCCCGAGAAGCACGCCCTCGGCTGGGCCCGGCGCCTCCCCAGCGGGAGGCGGGAGCAGGGCCTGGCTCGCCGGCTCGGCTGGAAGTACGATCTTGACATTGCGCCCTTCTCACCGCGACTCGTGGGGCACGAGAACAACTGCTGCGGGTCCTGACCCGAGCTGGGAGACCGAGACTGCGGGGCGCGGCCTCCCACGCGGTCCTCACAGACCTCCGGGCGCTGGTCCGCGCAGCGCTCTCATGGGGTCACAAGGGGTGGTGGGGGAGCCCCTGGCTCCTGGCTGGAGGCCTTTACGCCCGGGTCTCCCCACTCAGACCTTCGAGAGAGACTTTCCAAAAAAGCCCTAAGCAGGAGGACATTCGTGATGACGCGGATTGTCCCCACGGTTCAAGTGGCGCGTCCACGCGGACCCCGCGCAACGTAGCACTAGCTGGCCTCCACGGGGGCCGGAGGGGTTCGGTGGCCGCCCTGGCGGCGACTTGTGGAGCAAAACTAGTATGTTTCGAACCCCTAAGTGAATGTATCGTAAAACTCAAGGTTAGGCACCGGGTCCTTCACTGTCCTTCCCTGCTCTCCCTCTTCTCAAGCCCCGGGAGGGGCGCTAGCAATTCTCAACTCCGAACTGGGCGGGTTAAAGTTCTCCCGCGCTCCCGGAGGCGCCCACCCGCCTCGCCGCCGCCCGCCAGGCCCAACCGCTCGCGCCCCGCACCGCGCTGCGGGCGCGCCCTGAAGGCGTAGCCAACGAGTAACGCCGAAACGCCGAGCTGACTCACGCGGCGCGGAAACTCAGACGTATTACGTCATTTTCACACCTCCTTTCTCGGATTGTCTCGCGTATTTTGAGCCCACCGGGGAAACGCGCCCACACCGCCGCTTAAGCAAAAGTGTCACAATTCCGAGGAAGTGTAGATTCGACGGAAGTTCTTATTTTCCTAAGCATCAACTGTAGTTTCTTCGTATAATAATCTCATCTTTTGGCCAAGGTTCTGAAACTGAATATTAAATATCATAGCTTTTATATGTTGTTGGAACCAGTGTGGTGTGATAAAGTGTAAGCAGTATTAAATCTCAAAACCAAAACAATAGCCTCAGCCAAAGGCTTCTCTTTAGGGCAGCCTGATTAAGCAGCTGGAGAGAGAAGAGGGAGGATTTCGGAATCACCAGAAAGGAGCAGGAAGGTCTCCCTTGCTGTCATCAGAATATTACACGCACCGACTTCTAGAACAAATAAATAAAGCACTGATTGCCTCTAAACCTGAGGCCTCGCATGAAAAAAAAAAATGTGATGGCAGTCTGCAGATTCAGAGAACTTCACCATTGCAATGCAAGGAAAGGGCCCAGTACTTTGCAATTCAGGCTATTAAATTTCCTGACTTTCTGGGGAGGAGGCAGCGGGGCAGGTGGGAAAGGTTCATCCTTATATGGCAAAGGAACACAACACTTTTCCTCATTTAGAATCTTCCCAACTGTCCTCTGGCCAAGGAAATTATTAGAAACCTAGAATTAGAAAAATTTAGGAAGGTGCCTATAGTTTTAAGCTGTATTTTGTATTTAATCCTCAACAGGCCAAGGGTATTTTAATAAAAAATGAAAATAGATATTCAGCAAATAGCATTCTTTCTCTATTTGTTAGCAACGTTGCTCTCATAGGATTTTCCCAAAATCGTAGGGATGGATGGAAAGAGAAAAATGTGAGCAAGCACGCGTTTTGCTTGCCTAGTAAACTTACTGATCTAAAATCTTTGTCTCCATTGCAGTAATGTCTAGAGTCAAAGCTGGCTGTGCTTGGCTTGCTAAACTGGGTTTCTGCTGTATAGACTCAGAACCAGGAATGAGTTTAGCTGATCCCTGTGGGGTGGGTACTAAGTCTAACACCTCTGCGGAGAACCCAGGTGGTCACAGTGATCCAGTGAGAAGCCCAGAGGTCACCCCAGCCACTTCCCTCAGTTACAGGCCTTAACCGGAAAAACATTTAACCTTGAGTTGTTTTGTTTTGTTTTGTTTTTTTAAGGCACACCGTTTTCACAAGCCAGATCCTCTCCTCTAGGGCAGCAGGCCCCAGCGCGTGTCCTCTGCTGCGTGGGGAGGACCTGGCAGCTGGTGGATCCGTCTGGGCCACAGCTGCAGGGTCGGGAGCTC